GGTATGATTTAAAGGGATGGGACAACATGTGTCTCTTACAAGGGCATGTGGTCTCCGGCTGCTCCCTCCTAGCCCCTGAGAGCCCTCTCCCTGACAGTGGCCAGCAAATTCTCCTGAATGCTGGTTGAGTGTTAATCCCTGTTAACAGCACTGCCTTGACATCCCTAGAAACAAAGCATTTCTGCAGAGCAGAGCTTCCTCTTTGTGTTCTGCTGGTGTGCTTTAACCCCAAGATGCAACGATCACTTCCAGGAATAAGACAGTTTAGTTTCCATTTGTGCTTGGCCCTTCTGCTCACACCAGTCATATGGAGTAGCTGCAGTGTCAAGGGAGATACATGGAGGCCAAGACACAGATTGAAACTTCAGATAGCTGAAGAGACTGGCCATAAAGCACCTAACAGGTCATAGCAGTTATTTCTTGATAGGTGCCTAGACCAGTTAAGCACCCCTAGAGAAAGGCTGAGCACTTTTATTTTCCGCTGGTTGCCACAGCTTATGGGGCTAACTGTGACTGGGGTCCATCCTGATGTGGTCACTAGTAGGTTAACTGGTCTTCTTTCATAGCAGTGACCTGTAACTGACTGACCTCTTTATCAAAAGATTAAATCAGACTCGATTTTAAGACTTTAGAAGAGTCCTCAGTTTTCTTAATTCCCCGATTAATTGTTTTGCCCAGTTTGAAAAATGAAACAACAAAAAGACAGCATCTCATTTCAGATATCCATCTAAGGACCTATTGTTACTTTAAAGCCATTGAAGCTATTGTTATTTAACGAGAACTTGATTGCTTCTTTTAAAAAATCAAGACAATGGTAAGGTAAACTTTTTTTTACCTAAATATCCCATTACCTAAACTGTAAGGCATGACAAATAATGATTTCTTCATCACCCTACAACCCTTACCTAGCTACAGTGTAATAAAATAAAAAAAGTTATGACAGCCTTTCCTTTGAATTCACTTGCAAAGGACCACCATTTTAGACTATAAGATTTTTTTTTCTTTGAGTCACAGTGTACTACTACATACTTGCTTAGTTTTCATGAATGCTTTACTCTCCTTTCACTAAATGTTAATTTGCATGAGATACTTGTGGCTTTAAAGAGACGGCATTGGCTCTCTGTCTACCAATCTAATTTCCTTGCATCTAAAGAATCACAGAGTTCTGGAGAACATAATCAACAGCTCTGTTTTGACAGGGGATATACTCATTTCTAAGTGAATACATAAAAATTAAAGACATTAGTCATACTTCGTTACATTCACACAAGTGGTACTTTAAAAATATAGTCCAAACACATTATTGTTCAAATTGTGTAGATTTTTAACTTTCCTGAGGAAAGCATACCTTAATTAGCCAGCTGTAATCCAAATTACAGTTTCTCATTTATTAAAGCTGTAAAAATACCTTAAATCTGCTGCATGTGTCTGAAATAACAAAAATAACTGCATTAGCAAAAATTATCTGAATATGAGAGAGTTATAAATAGATAGGAGGTGAATTGGACAGTCGGTGGATTCTGAGTTGGATTAAAAACATCTTACTTAAGCCAAAAACATGGCAACCAATATTTTCTGTTATAAAAATATTTGAGATTAATTTAGTTTTATGAAAGCTGTCAGGAGCTGAAATGAATAGCAGAAGTTCTCTGTTTATTTACAAGCCAGTGCTATACCTGAAGAGTAAAGCGAGGCACGTTACGAGCAGTGACAGCAAACCTTTGATTGTATTCAAAAATCCTTTTTGCTGGTGGATAAGAATGACCTGTATGTTCATGTTCTCTCTGCCTTGATAACGCTTGTCATTTGAGCAAATAGTATGACAGGTCTGTGAGGTGGATTACTACTGTCCACTAGAGGCTGTAATGAGACCAACAATGTCATTTTATGATAGATTGAAGACTTGAACTTCAATCGATCAATAATGATGAGATTACTTTTCACACTCAATACATTGTCAATCACTGCATTTCCCTGAATGCTAGTGTTAAAAAAATCCAACTTTTTAGAAGTATTATTAATTGTATAAAACATGTTGTGTAGATGGCACATTACAACTAGTGAATTGAAAAACAGTTCTTCTAGACACTGTGCATCCTGCATGCCAAATTGTTTAGTATCTTCCGGTGAGCTCTGTATTCTTCTGGGAGTCCTATAATTTTCAACACATCACCAGCAGTAAATAAAAACGCTTGGGTCTATGTGGGTTCTTGTGTCCCACTCGTGTTCATCAGCACCTTGATATTTTGTGGAATCCTTTGTGCAGGGAATATATTGAGGCCCAGTGTAGGCCCTTGGCAGAGGAGCTGCTAAGGCACAAGGGCATCTTGTGACATGGTTGCATATCCTGTGTGTTCGGCCACACTCATAAGGCATAGTCCCCTCATCCCTCGTCTGTTAATGCAACCAACATGTATCCAGTCAGAGCGGAGGTGAGTGGCTTATGAACTTGACGTGGCTGGTGGCAGTTGTGGCACTTCCCAGAGCCATGGATTAAGTGCCTGCTGGCTCAGGGAAGCACTATTGCTTTAACTTACAATGCACTTACATTGTGGGGGTCTCTTTTCTACACTGAAGCAGAAACATGGACAAAGATGTAAAAGCCTGGAGTATACAGCGTGGCAAAAAATGAGGGTCCTGAGGCAAACACTATAGTCACAGAGTAGAGGAACACACAAGCCTCTTACATGAGCCTGCTGCAGAAGGGAAAGTTGCCCAAAGCTTGCTTCAGCATGAATGTGGCTTCTCTTTCTCTGCGTGTGCCACACCTCTTGGCAAGGTGAATGTTTGAGAAGGAAAGATTCCTTTCTCCTGAGGTAACACTCTGTACTACTGGAATAAAAAAGGTGGCAGACAGAATGCCTTGTACTCTGAATTGAACCTTGATGATGGGTTTGCAGTTTCTCCAGGGCTTTCACTTGATTTTCAGTAATCTCCAGTCTTTGTCTCTTTCCCTTGGTTCTTTTTATTAAATCAATGAACCTTACATTAGCTGGGTGAATACAATTTTGCTGTCTGCTTTGCTGCTGTAGATTATCTCTCTCGTAGTACTGAGTGGCATGTTTGTCCAGATATCTTGGCCTGTTGCTGCTTCTGTCTCCAGATCACTGCTAGAAGAGAAAATCATTTTCATAGTGAACCTGAACTAAAGATACAGGGGATGCTATGGTAAAAGATCCTTGTTTCATAAAGCTAGTCTGCATTACAGTATCAACTCTTAAATCCAGAATGCTGGAGCTTACAATGTTATTACTACATTCTTTAGCAATTACAGTAAGCCAGTGCAGTCCTTTATAGAAGGGACTCCTTTGCTGATCTGCATAATGGCAGGCTGAGTCCTAGGGTACTTTGCATCTAGACTCTAATACTAGATTTAATTCACAGTTAAAACCTAATGTTAATATAAAATGGACACATAGGAGATATACCTGCCAGAAACCTGGTACCTTAGAGTTTATTGTCATGGCAAAACATACAAGCTGCAATAAACAGCTTGATCTGGATGGCCATGTTACATGGCATGCACATCTCTGGCCTTTCTGAAGCCTGGGACCCCATAGCATCCAGCTCCTTGGAGCTGGTGTGTAACAGCCTTTGGTATTTATGCAACTTTTTTTTGCAATGTCCTTGGGGTGGGGAGAGGCCTCTGTGCTCTACTTCTCTTCCTGATGCCAAAGCAGAGAGTGAATGGGTTCTTACGGACCACTGTTGGGTTGCATGCGAACATAGCATCCCACTATCCTTTGGCTGCATTCATCCTATTCATTGCTTTCGTAATTTATTTCTTTGTACCTAGCTTGATAAATTGATTTTGAGGGGTATGGGGGAGTGGGGGTTGTTTGTTTGTTTTTTTAATTTTTTTTAACGTGAAGACCAGACTGAAACAGTCCAAAAGGAAGATATTTTCTCTGGTCTCTGTTTTGCATCTGTGCTTGTTACTTGCCCATCACTGCAGTTTATGGCACTTACAGGCACCTGCGTTGAGGGAAGTAAGAGAGTAGTACACTGATGCTGGGGTGCCAGGGGAGTGTAAGTTGCCATAGTTCGCGGGAGGTGGGAGGGAAGTTCGGGAGCTCACAGTGGTCTGCAGACAGCTGGGAGAGATGCTGGGAGAGATCTTTGATGAAACCAGTGCTGAGGAATCCAGAGGGAGTTAGTACCCAAACATGCGTGGTTCAGCCCTGCCTGTCTTGTAGTTCAGTGACGGTATGAGTCAGACTCTCTTTGGTCTGAATGAAGTGGAAGGTACTTTCTACAAGCAACTCAAGCATATGCCAAGAATCCGGATAAATAAAACTAATTCAGAAAAAGGGAGTGGGATGCAGGTTCTTGCTCTAAATCACTTCACAGTTCGACACAGCGAAATACAATATGGCATCTTAAATAAAATCACCCTCTTCTGACTCTCGCAGAGGCTGCTTCAGAGCATTCCCTGGTTTCCAGCAGTTTTATTTCCTCCCTTAGAGAGACAGACCAGCCTTGACTGAGCAACCGATTTTCATGCATCCTTTAAACCAGCATTCCCTACCATTTCTGAAGGACAGCACACGTCGCTAGCTGTCTGTTTCTTCCCCCTTAAACAATATAGGTTTGGGGTTGGGTTGTGGTTTTTTTTTTTCCCCTCCCCATCTCATTTCTTTCTGCCTGCAAAGTGATTTGAGAGCCCCGCGACGCAGCCTGCTACAGGAGCGGGGACTTCTCTGGAACACTGGCGTGCGCAGGGATTAATCCCACCGTAGAGAGCCAGCCTGGCCTTTGAAGTGTTACAAGGGGAGGGAGGAGGTAAGTGTCGAGGCGAGCCCCCAGCCCCCCTCCCCGCCCCCAGGCAGCGTGCGGCGGCCCGCAAAGGGTTAAAGGCCGCCTTGGCCCGGCGGTGCCGTGCGTATGCAATAATCTGTGTGGCTCTCTTGGCCGGCTGCCAGAGTGTTTGCCTTGCCTCCTCCTCCTCCCTTCTCTCTCCCCCCCTTCCCCCCCCCTCCGCCTTTTGCATGAAGTAGGATCCTTGAGCTGTTGCAGAGGCAGCCAACTGCTCCATATTTGGCTTCTATTACCCATTTACATGCTGGAGAGCGGAGAGGGAGCGAGCGCTGTACCGCAGACATCATTTCTACTACAGTGGTGGAGACATCCCGGACCTGTGTCACTGCAGGGGGAAGGAAAAAAACCAAACAAACAAAAAGCAGACCCAAGCCCCGTGATCAGCTAGGAAGACATTTGTGTGCGAGTCTCTCTGAACCCCCACCCCCGCCAACCCCACCTCCACTGACACTTTACAGTAAGTGGCTTTTTTTTCCTCCTCTGCTTTCTGCCTCCCCCCCACCCGCTCCCGGCTTCTTCCCTTGTTTAGACTGCAAACCGCCGGCGATTTCCAGCTGGAAAAACACGGGGCTGAGGGGGCCGGGGAGCGCGCTGCCCACTCCGCCAAGGGGCTGCAGCCTATCTCGCTGCGGCCGCCCCCGGCCCGCCGCGGCCCGGCACGGCCCGCAGGCGCTGCCGCCGCGGGCCCGGCCCTGAGGGAAGAGGGAGGCAGGGAGGGAGAAGGGGGCGGCCGCGAAATGGCCGAGTACGCTGCGCAGGGAACAGAGTAGGGATGCGGGACACGGGAGGAAGCGGGGGGCTGGGGCGGCCCCGCGGCGGGAGCCGCTCGTACAGCCCTGCCCACTCCCCCCCCCCCCCCCCCTCCCTCCCTCCCGCTTCCCCCCGGCCCGGGCGGGGTGTGGGTGGCCGCGGGGACGGTGGACATTTTGCGAGTCGCGGCTGGCCCCCGGTGCGGCAGCGGCGGCCTCGGGGTGTGTGAGACTGCGCGTGTGTCCGTGTGTGCGGGAGGGCGATGTGCGGTGCCGGTGCGTGTGTGTGGTGTGTGTGTGTGTGTGTGTGAGCGTGAGGGCTCCGCTGCGTGCGAGTCTGCGTGTGTGTGTGTGTGTGTGTGTGCGAGTGTGCGGTGCCGGTGCGTGTGTGCGGAGCGTGCGGTGCCGGCTGTGTGTGTATGTGTGGGTTGCCGTGCCGTGCCGTGCCGTGTGCGGGTGGGGGGTGCGGTGCCGGTGCGGTGCCGTGTGTGTGTGTGTGTGCGGGGGTGCGGTGCCGGTGCGGTGCCGTGCCGTGTGTGTGCGTGCGCGGCCGGCGCGGTGCGGTGCGGGGGGGCCGTGCGGAGCGCGTACGCCGGGCGGACCCGGCGGAGCGCAGCGCGGGGCCGGTCGCCGGCAGGGCCGGTCGCCGCCGCCGCACGACGTATGTAGTACGGCGCTGGGCGGCTGCCGGAGGGTGAATGAAGCGAGGAGGAGGCGGCGGCGGCGGGGGAGGCGGCGCTGGCGCTGGGATGTGCCCGGCAGCAGCCCCGCTCCGCTTCACTCAGGGCCCAGGCCGGCTGCAGACGCCACCCGGTACTGCCGGGAGGGACGGGGCGGGAGGGATGGGGGAAGGGGGGCGCCGCCGCCCCGCTGCCCGCCCGCGGTTGTGGGGTCCGGCCGGCGGCTTCCCGAAGGGAAGCGGGGCCGGGGTTCCCCGCCGCCGCCGTCGCCCCGGGGCTCCGCTCGCCTCTTCCAGTGGCGGCCGCTGCCCTCCTGCCGCTCACCGATCCCCCGTCGCCTCCGGGTTTGCTTGGGTCGGGTGGAGGTGGTTGGGTTGCGGGGGTTTGGGGTTGGTTGGTGGTGGTTTGGTTTTTGGTTTTTTTATTGGTTTTTTGGGTTGTTTTCGGTTTTGTTTTTTTTACCCTGAGGCATCGTAATTTACGGGCAGAAAAACAAATAAATGACCCCGTGTACGATTGTGGGTGCTGAATCCGTCAATGTGATTCCTGAGAATATTAAAGTCTAAATTAAAGCGTGCTGGAAAAGCGTCAGCTCCTACTGTAATAGTAATAGCGGTAATAATAAAATGACAGAATTGGGAGCGATTTACATGTTATTGAAGAGGAGGAATTACTGAAGAGTAATAATAGAAAAGAAAACAAGTCGGAAGCCCGTTATATAATGCACTGTGTAGACAACGAGAGTGACAGGCTATTTTTATTTTGTTTACCGTATGCTGTGTAATAGGGACTCCTCCGAGCAGCATCTCTCCCCTATGAGCCCGAACTCCAGATAGAATTGGGGAAAAATTTGAGGCATTTATTTTACGACCAGACGAAGAAATCTAGGTTTGTAAAACCTTCCTCTTTACAAATGATTTCTGTGTACAGAACGGGAAGGGTGTGCAGGTAAATGACCTTTGCCGGAGACCTTTTCCCTTTCATATGGTAAAGAAATTCATATTTTGTAATACAGCTTACACTTTAACCTTTAACGCTCATGGTTATGTATTTTATGCAGTAATGGTTACTTTACGCGTCAGATACGGTCAGGCATAGTGAATTACTCTGCTGACACACTGATAAGTCAAGGACTTTTAATTTCAGTTTCGAATGAAACCGTCCCCTAAAGGAAAATCCCGACTTCATGTTAATCTATTTCTGTTCGGGTGATAGAGACGGTGCAGTTTTATCATATGGAGCAAGGGTTATGAATGGGGGAGAGGGAAATTGAGAATGGCCAGGGAAAATATTGCGCCGTAGTTATTTTTGTGATGCTGCAAGATAATAGTAGTAATTGTACGTTACTGCACTTTATTTGTTCGTAAAACTGGCCCGGTATTTTACGGGTAGCAGCTATTTTGAAAGGGTGGCTGTAATCTCCTCACTTTTTACGTAAGGCAGAGGTCGATAGGTTTTCCTCCGTGCTCGGTTGTCTGTCTGTCTCTCTCATCATGTAGCGACATGTCAGCGGTGCAGGCTTTCAGCGCGCTTACTCCAGCCCTGATCAGTCATGTAATTAGATCAGGCTGCCATGGTAACAGACGGGATTCACCGTATTCACCGGCCAGCCAGGTGCGTGTGTGGCTGGCAGGCGACTCAGCGGGCTACCGCCAGCCCTGCGTGTGCCGCGTTGGTGGCGTACGGCCGGCGCGGCCACCGCCTCGAGCTTTCCGACAATTGAAAGATGCCCGTGGTGGGTTCCTAATGGCCGAACTTCTCGGGAAGGGTGGTCTTTGCCCACTGGAGTGTCAGGCAGATGGGACCGTACGTGGCACGCTTAGCAGGTCAGCCAAATCGTCAGTTCCACTAGCGTGTATTATTAGCAAATTAATGAAGGTGTGGTACTTTGTAAAAATGCTTTTGGCTTATACAAGCTTGCATGAAAGTTTCTTCAGAGTTTTCCCTTTTTTCTTTTTTTTTTTTCCTTCTCCCCCCCCCCCCCCCCCCCCCCCCCCCCTTTTTTTTTTTTTTTTTTTTTTTTTCTCCCCCCCCGCCCCCCCCCACTGTCTCTGTCTGTTTAACTGTTTGGTGGCTGTAGTAGTCAGTGTTTGTTAACAGTTCCCATCCCAGCATTCTCATCATAGGCCACAGGCTTGTTATTCTCCACTCTTGTGCTGTACTTTACACCCTCTGGCTGGTAAGATGAAAATTGGTGATACTTGATGTCAGTATTATCACTCTGGGTTTGTTAAAGCCTCCTTGTAGTTCTTAGCAATGTCTAGGCTCTTTTGTGTGTTAGGTGAAAGCTGACTGCAGTTTCTCATGATAAAATCCGAAGTATGTACTATGAAAAACAGTTTTTGCCTCAGCAAACACTTTATTTCTAGTATGGGTGTATTTTTTGCATTTGTGCTCATCAAGATGTTATAGCCATGGAGCAGGAGACTTTCTGACACAGCTTATAATACCATCAAAGGATATGCAATATAATTAGCTTTGAACTGCATGTTGCTTTTAAAAACATGTTTCACCAAGCAATGTATATTTGTCTTCATTCTCATTGTTTGAACGTTACTCTTTTAAGCCACTCTTCCATAAATGTAGGTATAATTTTTTAAAAGCACCAAATTTGGCACTGTGTTCTAATGTCATAAATCTGGAGCAACTCCAGGGGATGGGATTGTGAGCCACTTACATGGGTGTATATCTCAAACAACTCCATTTATTGGACTTAATCCAGGCATGTAGTAGAGTAACCAAGCTCAGAAAGTGATCTGCTGCATATCACTGTTATTTTCTCTATATTGCTTTTCATGGCAAAAAGCACTGTGGGCTTAAATAGGATTTTTGCCTGATTAAGGAGCTGCATTAAGTGTCTATAGAAGTGGGTAACACCCATACTCCAGTCACTAATCTTGGGTGCACTTACACTAATATTGAACTTCACCCGGAGGATTTTGTGTCTCAGTGATGAGAAATCATCAGCACCCACAGCTCCTGAGCATTTGTAGTACCAGACTGGAACATAAAGCAATCCAGAAATATCTCAGTAAAATAGATATTTTAATCACTCTGATGGTAGAGCACTGGAGCTGGAGGAGGAGGCAATGAGAAATGCCTGTTGGTGGTTCAGCTCAGTGACAGGCAGTGGTGGTCTTGGGTTTGGTGTGATGAGTTTGTAGGTCTCAGCCTGCCTGCCGAGCAGGAGTGTTTCTTCTAGGAGGGGTGAGGGGACAGACAGGGTATTTGCAGGCAATTTCCTGCACTGCAGTGCAACTTCTCAGTGTCTCAACTAACTTGCCCTTCTGGCTAGGAGAGAATATCCTCTGCTCGGTGCAACCGCCTCTGTTTTGGGCCTCCATTCTGAGGAGGTGGCTGGAAATAGAAGAGCTTATTAGGAGGACTGGCTGGAGAGAGTGGAATAGTCACGAGCAGGACAACTTCTGCAGTGTGAGCCTTTGTGTGCTGCATGCTGCTTGTACATATTTTATTTTAAGACAAATGATTTAGAGTGTTAGAAAGTAATTATTTTCAAAAAGGCCATATATACATAGTTTAAAACACTTTTCTGAAAAATAAACAGTGCAACTTTGCTTTTCTAGCCTGATTGAATCTATTTAGAAAGGTTGAAAAAACGAGTTTTGTTTTAAAAGACATTTACAAGAGACCTGGAATTTCACTTAACAAAAATTTTTTATGTAATAGATCCAGTGGCCTAGTTTCCCATTAATTAAGAAAATAGACACTTGAATGCAGTCATCTGAAAAAAAAACCTAAGGATTTAAACATTAGAATTTTAAAATAATTGTCTTAGTAATGTGGCTAGTAAAACAAAATCAAGGCCTAATTTTCCCCTTGCATCACATCTTAGCAGATGGCATTCAGGATTATAATTTTCATTGTTCATACGCACACTGCTTTTGTTGTAGTGTACTAATTGAGGGGGAAATGCAATAAAAAAGTGTGGCAGGCTGTAAAGGAAATGCTTGTCAGGATTGCATAGATGGTCTGAAGCACTGGCTGGCTGCAAACCTACTCCAGCGTGTGAGGCAGCTGATGCTGGTGATGCTTGAGAGAAGTCAGTGTGTGTGACAGCCTCAGCTATAACCACACAGGTTGTGAGTGATTTGACTGTTCTGGAGAGCTGTACGGGTACGGTGTGTGCAATTCAGAGAGTGCAGATATAGATTTAGTTGTAAGTCTCCTCTGAGACTGCTGTAACCAATGCTGCGTTAACAGATAAAGATATAATTAGAACAAGAAACAGAAGTATGGCAGGCTTGGCACAGGTAAATATTTTATTGTAAAGAACTGACTTGGTATATTCCAGTGACTTCAATAGCCTAGGCTTTGCAAAGTGAAAATCCTGACCTAATCCTTTCATTTTACTTTTAAGCAAGATTCCAAGTGTGATAAATAAATATGTATTTGGTCGAAGGCACTGTATTTTGAAGTCTTATTCAGTAGTTCACATTCTTTATATGAGAAAGTTGAAGATTTTTACATGGTTTTGGCTGAGGTGATGCATGACTAACATTTTAAAACGTAAGAAATTTTGTAAATTCCTATTTTTTGCAAAAATATGAAAACTAGATCCATGACTGTAACTCCTTTTTGATCTCTGTGCATGTGTTGAGAATGTAATGCTTCATGGCTGTTTTTTTTCTCTCAAAGCTGTAGTCTGAAGTGGTTGTACAACACACGCAAATCTGTATGTGTGTATTGGTCCCAGACTACAAAGTTACTTTAGTACATGTCCCAGTGAGGGTTTTGCTGAATGAGAATTGATTAAAGAACCTATCTAGAGTTAAGTATGCATGTAAATTCTTTCCTAAATAGGAACAAGTAAGTATGCTCATAAACTGAAACAACAGAAATGATTCTCAGTGAGGGAGAAATGGTCTCACTAAATCCTTTTATTGTACCAAGAGTGATAAAAATATCTGGTGAGATTCCAAGTGAAAAACCCAAACGTATTTTGTTTAATAGGTGACGTCAGCAGAAGTTCAGTGCTGGCTCTTCATGATTTTGCTGAGCAAAATCTCAGAAATGATAAAAAATCCACATTGGTAAAGTGTTTCTGTGTTTATATTATTTGGGAATTTACAGTAATAGGCATCAACTGTAGTGTGCCACCTTTAATGACAAGATAGTGTACAAGGTAAAGTCACATTCCGATAGGTGATTATTTTCCACCTAGTAGTAGTAGTTGCAGCACTATGTTTTCAGGATGCTACCGCTTCTCAAATAAAATATGTTCTGTTGGCAGTGAAGACAGTCATCTCCACTCGCTTATGATTCTTCACCTCATTAAGATCACATTTAGGAAAAGAGCACTCTGAATAAATGGGCTCTGCTCTACTGTATGAGCTCTGTCTGCAGGATTAAATCTATAGTTTATTTGTGCTTGAGTAATAGTAAAAGCAGCCTCTCTGTCTTCATTGGGATATCTTAGTCTGTTGTAAATGATTGTAAATGTTAACTCTTAACTGTGTTTTTGTTTCTCTTTTTTTTTGGTTTCCATCTTCTCCACTCCTGGATCAACAGTCACATTGCAGGCCAAGCCAGATGGGCAAGCAATACAAGCTGTGAATTTATTCTTGACCCCGTAGGACAGTGACCACCGTCATTTTTGTCTTCACCGTACAGTTATGCACTGCCAGTAAGGTGAGAATGCAATGCTTTTTATTTCCTTCAGCAAGTGTACACTGTCTGCTTTGGGCTTTAGGCAAAGTGGACACCTTCCTGGTGTCTGTGTGGTTACCTACCTGTGATAGGTTTGTACTTCCCTTGCCTGGCAGTAGAGGTCCTTGAGAAACTCTGCTCAGAAAAATTCCTTTAAATCTGGTGACTCAGTTCTGTGACTTACAGAGCAAGTGCATTCTAGATGAGTGGTTTTATACTCACCTGAGGTCAGAGTATATTCAGTTACTGGAAGATGTTAGTATCAATGGAAAAGTTGGCAGACTTTGATTCTTGTTATAAAATGCCCTGTGTAAAACTGTATAAATCCTTCCTTCACTTTATGAACATTTTCAGAATTCTTGTTGCTTGTTGCCTACTTGGCTTTTACACTGTCTTGAGTTTCTTCTGTGCATTAAACTTTGTCCAGCATTAGAATAGCTCCCAGGATAATTCGTCACTACTGATGTATCTGTGTGTCTTTTGGTCTATTTTGAGGAATGCTTCAGTTCTTCTGATCTTCCTCCCTGAAATACTGTGGCCAGACAAGATGTAAAAGTGCACATGTATCAGTCTGCTGTGTTCCTTTCCTCTGTCTCTCCTTCCCATATGGTTCTGGAAAATAACTTGAAAAGACCAAGTCCCAAGACTCAACAATCGTACTGCCAATAAAAAGAACATAAATTTTTATTTTATTTCTTTAATCTGATTGTCATTAAGCCAGCCTGGGTTTTTTTTAACGTATTCTATGATTTTTAAGTGCTTGGGATTGGCAATGCTGCTAATGCTCTAAGAAAAAAAAAGATAAAGGGTCATAATAAAATTGTCCATGTCTTTAAATGAAAGAAAATGAAATATAGTGATTGCTTGCAGAAAATCAAAGCGTTTCTTTTTAAAATTTACTATCTGAAAGCTTAATTACAGTAATGTTCTTATTTATGCGGGGCTGATCAGAAAGTCTCCATTGCAGAATAACTTTTTAATGTATGCAGCATGTCATAGAAAAGTATGCAGTGCATCATTTACATTTATTGTGGTTGTGGGGAGGGGTGCTGTGTTTTAGAGGGAAGTTGCCTAGGCAAGTAGCTACATGCAAGGACATGCCTGTTACAATTTCCAAATGAGCTTGAATGGTGGGGGTGGGTGGTATCTGCTGTAACTTCAGAGCAGTAAGAGTTCCTTGAGAGTGAAAAACCACACCAAGTGCCCATGCCCTGACACACTTTGTCTTTCTGTTTTGGAAGAAAACTGAATTGGTAGCAGCTATTGACTTGGAGCATCAAATAGAAGAAAGTTTTTTTGCTATGATGTTATCATTTCCATAAAGCATTAATTTTTTTTTCAGGATTAGCTTGGGTTGTATAAAAATGTGTTTATTTGAAGAAGTGATTACTGCTGGAAAAGCTTCTATCTCTTAATTAGAAGAAGTAGTTGTTTAGAGGGCATTAGTCAAGTCCTGTGAATAATCAGATTGTGTTACCCACAATGTATTGCTAAGTCACCTTGGATATTTTCGCATCTGGTATTTTCTGCAATTACATGCAAGAGAATATATTCAGTGTTAAGCAAACATTTGGGATAAAAAATGTAACCTAGTTAAGTCTGGTGCAGAGGCACGACGGAAATATAGTACTAAAATATTGTTTTTCCTATACCAGCTCATCTTGAAGTATAGTATTGTGTTTGTGGACCTTAGATTAGGTTAGATTTGGCTTAATTTCTTGTTGCTGAGTCACTGAGTTGGGGGTACCTCTGTTGACCTCATTAGTTCTCATTTTCTCTGTGGAATGATCAAAATCAGGCCCACTGTATAACTAAGTGAGATAGAAGTTATTGGGATAGACACTGCCTGCTTACAAAGTTCTCTCTGTTACAGGAGGAAAGAGGCAGGAGCTCAGAGTAGTAAAATGTGGAAGAAACATGACCTGGCACTGTGTGGGGAGCAGCCACAGATAAAGCATTTCATAGTCACACGCATCATCTTTCTGGCTTTTGCATTTGTTCTGGGGTGAGGGTGGCAACTACCCTGCTCCGTTTTAGGCAGGCCTGGGTTACTACCCTGGAGACTGTCAGAGGGATGGGACATGGGACACGTTTGAAGGCATCCGAAATGGATCTCGGAAACCGTACTTGAGGCCCAACGTCCCTACGTGTGCATTCGTGGCTTCACTCGCTTGAGGAATTGTGTGACTTCAGTGGGTAACATCTTTGTTGTGTCAGCTCTCCGGGTGTGCTTACCCTTCTAATTCAAGCAGTATTTTCTGCAGAGCCAGCTAAGCATCTTGCCTGGATAAGGACATGAGTATTAGTAAAAGTAAAATGAAAATAAATAAATAGATACAGTTTTCTTTCTTTTTAATTTTTAGTTAATTTTAGCCTGCTCTCCGAAACATAGAGTTATTGTTATTTGTTCAGAGCGTGCACTGCCTCCTTCCACGTAGGCAAATGACTCAATGCTTTCTTTTATACAGTTGTCTTGAGAGGATTTTGCATTAGATACTGGACATTTTAACATTAAAATAGTTCTTTTTAATCTTTTCTGCTGTCGAGTCACTTGATATTTATTAATCTTAGTACAGGGATGAATCTACAGCTGCAGCCCATTTGTAAGAAATTTTTTTTTGGCTGAATTTTCAGTAAGTATGTCTGTATACTACCCCATATATCTTATTTTTTACATAAGATGTGATTTCTGCTTTATGCAGACTTCTGGCTACTTCTCTCTGTAAACAGGCATCAGTCTTCCCTTTTAAAATACTTAATAGTGAACGTAAAAAGAACTAATCTCTCTCTATATTACTATGTGCAGTGATAGTTTTTTGGTTGTCATATCAGTGTCCTTTTATCATAGCTGGTTTTATTTCTTCCCTCATGCTGTTTATGAAGGTCTACAATAGCTGTAGGGCCAAAAGGAGGTAGGCAATGGAGATTTCTCATGTGTTAATAGCACAAGTGAAATGAAGCTGTGAACTAGGTATAATTGGATAGTAATTAGGAATAATTTTGATTTTAAAAATTGTTTATGTGTGAGCAACTAAAAGATAAATTAAATGAAGCGATGTGAGTGCTGACAGATGTCTTAAAAATGAGGCTTTGTGGTCCCCTCACCTCAGCCATAACCTTTCATGTTTTTGCTCTCTTGCTCCTACAGCAGATAGTGAAGGCCTGCTGCCTGACTGATAGAAAGTTTCATAACATAGTCTGAAGTGTAAATGGCATTGGGTATAGTGGTATGCCTACATAAAAACACAAGGCTAACATTCGTAATGTGATAAAAGGCACTATCCAAGGTTTGATTCACCTTCCAACTTGGTGTTTTTAAAAGGTGTATCTGCAAATGGAATGAGACTTGCTGTCCCACACACTGCAACTTGCTAGCATTCCTTTAAAAGTGTGGGCTTTTGGATGTTAGTGTGAGTATGAGTAGATGGAGAGCTTCCATGTGCAGGGGGCTGAGAAGTGGTGAGGTGTCTGAATGTGATGTGCAGTTGTGTGCAAGCCTGAGCATCTGTGTGTGCCCTCCTGCTGCCCCCTCCCTTGGCTGTGTGTGTTGGGCAGGGATGTGCTGGTGGAGTTTGTCTTGCCTTGAAACCAGGGCTGTGCTTTTGAAAGAAAGTTAGGCCTCATTATCAGGGGTATAATTTTGGTCTGAAATTAGCCCAGGTGGCAGCATCTGGATTTAAACGTATTGGCTGAGGGGTTTCTTAGAGGTTGAGACACGGTGCTAGAGGCAAACCCCCAAATTTGATAATTGTCTCTTTATTTTCTCATCAGTTACTTATTTTGGAATTAGCTGTAACCTTGACTTTAAGATTTATTGAGTCACTCCTTGCTCTATAAAAAGTACAAATGTCAAAGTGTTTCTCACTTGTGTTGGAGTGTGGTTGTGACTGTTGCCACATTTTTGTTTGTCAGGTACCCACGTATGAAGGCCTTTGTAGTTTTGTACAGCTAACATTTCTGTGAGGCCAGCTACTTGAAAGAAAGTCAGGCTTTAATGGAGAAGGATAATTACAAAAAGCAGGCTTAATCCTCCTTTACTGTGCTCAGAAATTTTGTGCTACTGAATATTTTCTCATTGGTGTGGTTCCTTTTCAGTGGCATGTGTAGCAGCTGACTAGAAAGTGATATTTTCAAATGTGTATCATAATAAATGCATTTGTCCTCTTCCGTAGCCCCTGAACACATTTGCTGCTTGGTACTGTGCTGTATTCATAGCTTTCCCAAAGTAGTCTGACAGCAAGTAGATCCAGAATGGTTTGAAAATCCAATAAATTCAAGGGGGAAAAAAAATCCTACTAGGTTATTACAGTAGAAGTTATAACTTTATTCTCCATGTACCACTAGCAGTTAAAAACCAATCACACTAATCATATGTACTGAAGTTTTATTTACAGATTAGGAGGCTCTACTTTGACATATGACTAGCAGGGAAGCCCCTCCCTTTAACAGTTGTATGTCATCTGCTTCAGAGAACTAATTACTTGGCAATTCCCATTTGATAATTCCCTCTTTATTTTCTGATGAGTTACTTAACAGTGATGAGCTTGTTGAGCAGAATACCGTGCTTAATCTGTGCTTCAGAAACTACAGTGTGGGCCTGGGGATATCATTGTTCCTGAAACGCTGTTTAGCCTTGCCATAGGAGCATTGAAACCACACTAAGATACATGAACGGCTCACATTTAACGATAAGCTGACTGTGAGTGATGCACAGCATTTGCCAAAAAATAAAGGAAGGGTTTAGATTACTGTTGCACTGCAAGCAGAATATTAAATATGTAATTTCTCAAAAAAACCCCGAACACCAAACCTAATGTAATTTAGACACTCAGAAGCAGAAGCTTATGTCAGAGGTATACGTTCTATGTATCATTGCTCTTCTCCACTGAAAGAATCGATTTAATGGATTTAAAAAAAACAAAACAACACTGTTTGTTGTAATCCCTATTTGACAGTTTAGCTGATTCCTGGTGGTTATTGTG